CATGAACACACACATGAACACACACACTGAAGGCCTGAGGAATCACTGGACAATACTTTACAGAAGGACAATGATGCTGCACAATAGAAAACAACATAAAGAGAAGTAATACAATTTTTAAAACTAACAACAGTTAAGGACTAATTTTACATCAGACAAAAACATGAAAATGTTGAGTTTTGATTTAATTGAATGGGGAGCATTCAAACATTTTTAATGTTTTTATTTCTAGTATGATATCAAAATGAGATAACCTAAGGAACAGTGGGAAAAAAAATTTTAATAGGGAACGTTTTTATTCATTTACTCTTTTAGGGGAGGTGATGAAAGACATTATTTTCTTTGGATCTTTTTTGCTATTAAAGTTAAATGTTACTCTTAAAAGATGAAGGACCGTCGTTGCCCAGCAGGCGGCGATGTGAGGCTTCAGTAAAACAAGAGAAGAAGAAAAAGGTCGACGGTTTAGCTTCTCCGCGGTGACAAACTGGTGTCTTTAAACGATTCTAGGAGTTTATTATTAGGAACACATGTGTACTGTTTAGACGTTTAAACGTTGTCAAAACAGAAATTTATGACATATATGTTTAAAATTGGACCTAAAGATTAAAATGGATCGCGGCTAACTGCTAGCAGCTAACATTAGCCACATCCGCAGCTGCGTCGGTTAGAGCTCTGTTGCCCTGGCAACGGATAAGCATAGCATCCGAAGCTCGTTTTGCTGTTTTTACCACTGTTACTTTTTAAACCAACGTCTCCGGGATGGCTGAAGAGGGAAGACGCGGAGAGGAAGAGGACCGGGGCCCCGGAGCGGCGCACCGGGGGTTTGTGATGATGGAGAACCTTCTGGAGAAGCTAAAGCTGCTCAACTACGAGGAGGAAGTTCTGTTGAAACACAACATGAAGAGCCTGACCAGGTGAGACGGACAGGTGAACAGATGCAGAGCAGCTTCCTGTTCATAGAGGAGTAAAGGAGCAGATGAAAGGTGTAGCTGAGAGAGAAGACATGGAGAACTAGAACATAATGACCTTTAAATCTGAATAAACATGAAACAGGCCTGTTTTTAGGTTCTTCAGAACATTAAACATGGAGATGTTCTGATCCGGGAAACATAAATGAAGACGGTTAACAAGCAGCTCACTAAACTAACATTTTCTCTCAATCATTTCATGTTTTATACATCTGGTTTCATTTTTACCTGGCCTTTTGCAATAATCAATTAATCATTTAATCACATAATTGAACATGAACTCAATTATTCCAATTTGCATAATTTATTGTTTTTCTCTAAAACTGGATGACAAAAGTTTTCCGTCATTCTGTTTTGTTGTTGTTTTTTTACTATATAACATGCTAACAATTGAGATGCATTATTATATTATAAATATGTGAAATTAATTTAGAAATTTCTGAGATTTTTGTATAAATTTATTCCTCTGTGTTCACATCATTTTCTTTGTTTTCTGTGATCTACATTAACCCTAAATTTAAAAAGATCAGGGAAATTGTGTGAAGAAGTTCTGGTTCTGGTTCTGGACTGAAGCTCCAGGCTGTGTTTCAGTTTCCTTCAGTTCTAATCGTGTCCGGTTCGGTCCGTCCTGCCAGGCATTACTTCGTCTCCAGTCCGTACCTGGCGTCCAACCCCGGCGAGCAGTTCTACATGTTCACCATCATCGCTGCCTGGCTCATCAACGTGGCGGGGCGGCGGTTCACCGACCCACAGGAGTACGACGAGCCCAACGCCATCGTGTCCAACATCCTGGCAGAACTCAGAGCCTTGGTGAGTCCAGCACATTTAAATGATGGGTTTTGAGAACGACCGGACCGGGTCTGGTCTGGTTTTGGACTCTCGGTGTTCATCAGGGCGTGAAGGTGGACTTCCCTCCCTCCAAGCTGAAGTCGGGCTCCGGTGAGTTCGTCTGCTTCGTGTTGGACCGCCTGGCCGAGGAGGCGCTGAAGAACCGAGGCTTCACCTTCAGACGGTGCCGACCAGTCCTGAAATCCACTAAACCTTTGACCCGACAGGAAGTGGGAGGGTTTCATTTCCCGTTTTCTGTTTCAGGCCAAACTACCCTGCAGAAAACGCAGAGGAAGAGTCGGTGATGGACGGCGACGCGGAGCTGACGCTCAGCAAGGTGGAGGAGGAGATGATCGTAGGTTTATCCACCAATGGTTCTGATGCCAGCCAGAACCCAGTACTGCTGCAGGTTCTATCAGGAGGGTCCGACGGGCCTGACTGTGTCTCTGACCTCAGGAGGAAGCCGACGATGAGGAGGAGAACGTGATGGACCTGGAGGCGCTGAAGCTGCGCAACGCTCACGCTGTGAGACCAGAGAAGAAGAAGAAGAGTTTCCTGTCAGTCTGAACCCGACTTCCTCTCTCTGATCCGGTTCTGTGTTCTGGCAGGAAGCAGAACCGAGCTCCAAGCCGGACGACATCCTGGAGTCCACGGTGGACGCCGCCGAGTGGAGGCTGGAGGTGGAGCGAGTTCTGCCGCAGCTCAAGGTCACCATCAGAACCGACAACAAGGTCAGAACTCACCTGGACTCACCTGAGCCGCAGCGGACCCGTTCGGTTCGGATGCTGGCTCTGATTCTGCTCCGCTTCTCCAGGACTGGAGGATCCATCTGGACCAGATGCATCAGCACCGAGACGGGATCAAGTCGTCACTCAAAGACACCAAGGTGGGTTAATCCGAACGGACCCAGCTGGTTCTGGATGGTCAAATCCTGGTCGAATGGTCCAGCTGGTTCTGGAGGGTCCAGCTGGTTCTGGTCGGACTCTCAACCCGCCATGTTTGTTCCTGTGTGTCTGCAGAGCTACCTGGACAAGCTGCAGGACGACATCGGGAAAACTCTGGAGAAGGTGAGCAGCAGAGAGAAGTACATCAACAACCAGCTGGAGGCGCTGATCCAGGAGTACCGCAACGCTCAGGCCCGGCTCAGCGAGGTGAGACCCGCTGACCCAAACCCGAACCATTAACGGTACCGGGAGCTGATCGGACTGTCCTCCATCAGGCGAAGGAGCGATACAGGCAGGCGAGTGTCGGAGTGATGGCGAGGACCAGAGTCCTGGCTGAGGTCAGTGAACACACCACCATCGGTCAGTGAACACACCACCATCAGTCAGTGAACACACCATCGGTCAGTGAACACACCACCATCAGTCAGTGAACACACCATCGGTCAGTGAACACACCACCATCAGTCAGTGAACACACCATCGGTCAGTGAACACACCACCATCGGTCAGTGAACACACCATCGGTCAGTGAACACACCATCGGTCAGTGAACACACCACCATCGGTCAGTGAACACACCATCAGTCAGTGAACACACCACCATCAGTCAGTGAACACACCATCATCAGTCAGTGAACACACCACCATCGGTCAGTGAACACACCACCATCAGTCAGTGAACACACCATCAGTCAGTGAACACACCATCAGTCAGTGAACACACCACCATCAGTCAGTGAACACACCACCATCAGTCAGTGAACACACCACCATCAGTCAGTGAACACACCACCATCAGTCAGTGAACACACCACCATCAGTCAATGAACACACCACCATCGGTCAGTGAACACACCACCATCAGTCAGTGAACACACCATCATCAGTCAGTGAACACACCACCATCGGTCAATGAACACCACCATCAGTCAGTGAACACACCACCATCGGTCAGTGAACACACCACCATCAGTCAGTGAACACACCATCAGTCAGTGAACACACCATCAGTCAGTGAACACACCACCATCAGTCAGTGAACACACCATCATCAGTCAGTGAACACACCACCATCAGTCAGTGAACACACCACCATCGGTCAGTGAACACACCACCATCGGTCAGTGAACACACCACCATCGGTCAGTGAACACACCATCGGTCAATAAACACACCATCGGTCAGTGAACACACCACCATCGGTCAGTGAACACACCACCATCGGTCAGTGAACACACCACCATCGGTCAGTGAACACACCATCGGTCAATAAACACACCATCGGTCAGTGAACACACCACCATCCGTCAGTGAACACACCATCGGTCAATAAACACACCATCGGTCAGTGAACACACCATCGGTCAGTGAACAAACTACCATGTTTTGTCTGTTTCAGATCAGTGAGGAGTTGGAGAAGGTGAAGCAGGAGATGGAGGACAAAGGCAGCAGCATGTCTGATGGAGGTGAGTCTTAATCAGCCGTTTCCCTCCCCAACATGTCCGACCCGTTTCCTTCCTGCGTCTCTGTTTCCTTCTGGTCTGCAGCTCCAGTGGTGAAGATCAAGCAGAGCCTCACCAAGCTGAAGCAGGAAGTGGTGCAGATGGATGTGAGGATCGGCGTGGTGGAGCACACGCTGCTGCAGGCCAAGCTCAAGGAGAAGTCCAACATGACGCGGGACATGCACGCCACCAACATCCCTGATTCTGCTGCCGGAACCTTCACCTAGAACCGCTGAGGTTCTGCTCCTCAGCGGCACCGGGAGGCCCAGCAGCTCCTCTGTCAAATACGTGTTTTATGACATAACTACAAATATTTATTGAATTGTTTTATATATTTCATACTTTTCTTGTTTTAATAAACTGAAACATCTTTTTATAAATGGCTAAGCTATTTATTACCCAGTATGTCCACTAGATGTCACCATTGCTGCTTCCAAATCAACATTTCTACCTGATGAAAACTGAAAACAGCAATGAGAAAATTTCCTAAATATTTCAGCTGGTATTGTAACAGAAAGTCAATCAAGACTCCTCTGTTAAAGAGGATGCTCACACCTTCAAAATAAAACACCTGCTTCACCAAAGTAAGATGATTTCCTGAAATAGTCATAGTGGGAGAATTTAAAGAAGTAACAGACATTTTTATGTGAAATAAAGTCTACAAAAATGCTTTAATAACCCCAAACATTTGAAAATGTGTAAGTAATTAGACTTTCAGATTTTGGCAGTTTCTAAGTAGAAATATATTTATTTTGTCTCAGGGAAACTTGATTTAAATATAAATATAAGCATGCAGATTCAAACAAATTAAGAAAAACAGAAAAATAAGAGTAGGAGGCTGGACTATTGGAGCAAACATAAGAAAATTAGTAATTCATTCATTAAAGCCTGATTCATAGAAAATTCTCTGCTTTTACTCTGAAGGTTCTGACCGGAAGCTGGGTTTTGGCTCTGCGGTTTCCGGTGAGGCAGTCAGGCGGACAGACTTCTGTAAACCCGAAACCTGGTGAAACAGCAAATAAACCAAAGGAAACAGGAAAGAAAACAGGGAAGGAAACAGGAAAGGAAACAGGAAGGAGGTTTTTACGGCAGGAAGAGGATTTATTTGGACTTCCGGCGAGGAACCGAGAGGAAAAACAACCCGGTGAGTTCAGTCCGTTATTTTTCCTTTTGTCTCGATTTGAGCAGAAAATTCAACAAAAATACTGAAAAAAATCACGAAAACAAGTAAACCCATTTCAATAAGTATTCTTTAGTTTTCATTCAACAGAAACCGCCTTCAATAACTTTAATCACTTTAAAAAGTGACATATTGTCACTATTATTGCTTTAATTACAACCTGGTCAGGCTGAAACCCCAGATAGATTTATCCCGTTATATTCTTTAAACTATATTTGCAAAATAAAAACCAAAACTCTCATGGAAATACTGGCAGCTGAAACGGCTGCTAGTTTCAGCTGCCAGTTCAGCGGGATGATGATGCGCTTCAACATTAAAACTATACAAGCAGGAAAAGCTTCTTAATTTCAGCAGATTGCTTAAAAATCAACAAAGTAAATAATGGAAGATTCGTTAAACTTCCAGGAAATGATCCGTTTATTGTGACGCTCCGGAGTTCTAGTGGTTCTGGTGGGATCTGGTTCGGTCCAACCCTGGTTTCCTGTGACGCGTTTTCCTCCAGCATCAGCAGCTCCCAGCCTGCTGCTGCTGCAAGGCATGCTGGGAAGCCGCCTCTCAGACCAGACAGGTTCAGGAATCTGCAGTTGAGCCTGAATATGGATCAGATGCTCAAGATGAAGAATCGGAGTTTAATCCTGATGCATGTTTGAACTCCTGACGGTTCTGCAGCTCTGACTCGGTTCTGCAGCTCTGACTCGGTTCTGCAGCTCTGACTCGGTTCTGTTTGCTTTAGCAGTCCAAACAGACAGAGCTGTTTGGACTGCTGTCTGAAAACAGGAAACGGGATTCAGTTGGTGAGGAAGTTTAGAGTTTCACAAGGAAGATGAGAAATAATCATGCAGGGTTTTTCCCTCCTTGCCTGTAACAATCAGATGTTATTATTTTTAAAAATCAGGTCTTGAAATTGAATTGTTCTGCCAGAAACTGAATCCTAGTTTATTCATCCTGCAGGAGCTTTAAAACAATCACATGAATATTCCCATATCTCCATAAGGACATAGATGTTTCTGTGGCTCTTTATTTAATCAGGACTCTCAAGGTTCCTTCACTGTCTGGAAAATCCTGGAAAAGCTTTGAACTTGATTTAATCAGTTTTCATGTTTTAAGAGTAAAAATCTTTCTGTTTCCAGACTTTATTTCCTAGATCTGGTTTCTGAACGGCAGAAAATAATAAAGACATGTTTCTGAAAGGAAGTTCCCCAAATAACTGCAGTCATATTTAGTCTTATAATTAAAGACAGAAATAATAAACACAGCAAGGTTTAAACGTAATGAATTATGGATTCATATTTCCAGTCTACGTGGCAAAAAGAACAATTAATGAATTGTATTATAGTAATGAACCAGTAGAAAGCCAGACTACATCATTACTTTAGACATCGATCCGAAACTCAGTGAAACAATTTTAGATTTCATCCTCAAAGTTTTCATCTGGTCTGGAAAAATAAAAGATGGAATAAATGCCCAGACATTGAAAGTGCTCAAATATTTGAATCTGCAGAAGTTCCTACAGCTGATATTTAATATTTACCATCTTTCACCAGCAGCAGCTGTTTTCTGTAGCTCTTTAGTTCCATCCAGTGATGACAAACTCCTGCTTTTATTTTTAGAAAGCTAAATATTACAGGTCTGCACCATTTCATCTTTACATCAGATATTTATAGCAAGACACTCGTCAGTTATTGTGTTTTTCTAATATCATTTATCTTTGCAGAATTAGGTTAAAAATTTTGAACAGTAATTCAGTTTAGGCCAGAGTTAGGCTTTTAATAATCTATTTTTGTATCACAACCTATTTGCCAACTTAAAAGTTTTCACTTTTAGTTGCCTTTTTCTGTATGAATAAGCATAAAAAACATCTTAGAAAACTTATTTTTCCATGCAAGAGTTAAAGTGACAAAGCTGTTTGCATTTTTCAAAATTCAGAAACTTGAGAAAGTTAGTGTTCATTCCAGACGACCTCTGCTGGACGTCTCTGCTAGTGACTCTGGCTTTGCTGATGTCAGAGAAACGAGTTTCTGAGTTTTGTGTTCAGCTGATAAACGGTTAACAGGAAACATGAGCTCAGAGTCACAGCCTCCTTCTGTTTCTCTGCTTGTTTTTCTGCAGCTTCGCCTCTGCAGGATGTGATAGAACTGCAGCAGATAAACTTCTCCCTTCTCAGCCTCAAGGTAAAAATAAACTTTTTAAAAATAAGCAGCTATTTAAAAAGCTGGGAGTAGATTCTGTTAATCCCTGCAGCTCTAATCTGTTGATCAGATTTGCACAGATTAGCTCTTCTGTCTGAGAGGAGAGAGACTTACTGAAGATTGCAACTCACTCCAGATCTGAGCTTCATTTATGACCAATGAGCTGAAACCATTTCTGCAGAAAATCCTCTAATCTGAGCCTCAATGTTCAGCTGTTCGAACCGAACAGCTGAACCGATCGGTTCTGGTCTCTCTCACTGAACTGATCGGTTCTGCTATCTCTCACTGAACCAATAGGTTCTGCTCTCTCTCACCCAACCGATCGGTTCTGCTCTCTCTCACTGATCTGATCGGTTCTGCTCTCTCTCACTGAACTGATCGGTTCTGCTCTCTCTCACCGCTGCCCGTCGGGTTTCTGCTGTTTCACAGATCAACAGACGAGACGCAGCGACAAACATGTCTCTGTTATTCTCTGGAGCCGTCACAAGTACGTCCCACACACACACACTCACCCACACACACACACACACACACACACACACACACACACACACACACACACACACACACACACACACACACACACACATCCATTCACAGGTTGAAAACACGTTTGCCGAGTCGGTGGTTTAAATTCTCCCCGATTTATAAAACAGCATTTCATGGTGCTGCCACCACCGTGCTTTACAGTGAGTTTTATTTAACATTTTAATTTCGCTAAAATCCACCATTCATTGCAGACAGATGAAAATAAAATGAGTGAAATCTGTTGTGAATTCGCTCATCCTGTAATCCTCCTCCAAGCTTCACAGTCTGGTAAATTGGTAGAAAATGATCCTTTAGCAAAATGTAGCTGATTAAAGATGGAGGGAAATGAATCATCTGACAACTGATCACAGGAAACTCATGTTTACAGTTTCGCTCTATATGGATCTATATGGAGTTATTATGTTTCTGAGGAGAGAAAATGGATCTAAATCTAAACCTGCTGACATTAATTCAGTTTTATCTGATTCTGCTGCTGTAGGAATGTTTTTCTTCCCACCGTCACCAGGTGCTTCACCAGAGCAGAGTTGGAGCTGAATTAACTGTCAGTAGATGATTTAATGTTTCTTCTGTTCAGAGGTTAGAGACCATATGGACACCTTTCGTCAAACAATTTTGACAGGTGGCCCCGCCCCTTTTTAACTGGATGTCCCGCCTCCCAGCATCAGGCCAGCTTGCAGCTTTATCCATCACAGGTCCCAGATCAGGTTTCACCGCCATTGCTGTTGCTGTTCAGGAAGCACGTGCTTATTCACCGTTATGTCAAAGAATGTCTTGAGATCCCCGAATGTGAAACAGTAGATGCAGGGAAGATGGGTTCATTTTCCTCAACAGCAGAATGAACTCGCTTAGACCCATTCATTGTAAAGTTCTGAAACAACTGTTACAACTAGAGTGCTCGATTTTTCCAACATTACTCACAGCAGAAACAGTAAAAAGGCCAAAACCCATGAACTCCGTCTCTATTGGCTCATTCAGAGCCAGTGGAGCAGATGGGCGGGAATGGGAGATGAGGGGGGGTTGTAACTGAATAATGGAAATGAGGGTGGGGGACAGCTTGTTGGGAGGCGGGACATCCAGGTAAAAAGGGGCGGGGCCACCTGTCAAACAGTTTGACGTAAGGGTGTCCATATAGTCTCTGTGTCTCTGACCTGAGGAATGTCCCGCTGATTAAAACTCGTCTTTATTTAGAAACCTGCTGGTTGCTGAAGTAATCAAACCTCTTCTGTTGCTCAGGTTCCCCGATAAAACGGCGGCTGCGTGGGAATCACTCCTGCCACAGGTGAGACGTCTCCGATAAACACAGCGGACGGTGAACTGTCAGGTTTAAGGACATTATTGTTGTTTTGAGACCATTTCTAGGTCCATAAAGCAAGAACTCATTCACAACTTTAGGTTCTAATTTAACACTGGACCTGGAAACATCCTAAATAAACAAAACAACAAATAAAATGAATTATAAAGTCCAACTAGTTGAGCCCAAATCAACAGACTGAAACATCCAGTTTTGGCTGAAACAGAGAAAACAGACAAACAATGAATCTGTTCTTGTTGCGACAGACATGAATATTTAAAGGTTGGCAGTAAAACAACTTTCTGAGCCCAGAAGGAAAACGGATGTCAAAATGTTTCTACTTGTTTAATCAGATTTCTCTAAAACATGAAGGAGTGAAATCAGGATAAATAAATAAAATAAAATCCAGACGTTTCGTCCCCCTGCAGCCCCGACGCCTCCCTCCTGTCCCCCGACTCGTCCTACGTCTGCTACCCGTCTGCGCTCGCCGGCGCCCCTGCTGCTGCCGCCGCTCGCCGCGCCTCCTCACCAACGGTTACTATGACGTCACCGAGGACAGCTTCTGCCTGGACGAGGACGGAAACGTGTCTCTGACCGACTGCAGGACCAGCGTGTCCTACAAGGAGAACCTGGTCAGGTGAGGTGTGACATCATCACACAGGTGGGAACAGATTCCTGCCCTGCAGGTGAACAGCAGCAGTGAACAGCAGCAGCCAATCAGAGCGCGGCTTCACTCAGCTGTAAATTCTTCCTGAGTGACTCAGCGGCGCCGCGGTGATGTCACTGACGGCAGTTGCTAGGAGACGGTCAGTGTTATGGGATGTTTGTGGTTCTGTTTGGGAGCTGCAGCAGGTCACAGGGTACTGCCCCCTGCTGGCGGGTTTTACCTGCTGTCGGTTGTTTTCAAATATTATTTTTGTTCTGTTGCTTTTAAACTTTTTATTTTTTCTGTTACTTTAAGGATATTTTAATGTCACTGAATCTTTATTGAAGATTTACATTTGTAACATTATTCAGTAAATTCTTGCTAACTGCTAAACTGAAAACCGTTCAGTTTTTAATCTGTAAATTTCTCATAAATTTAAAGTTGATTTGTGTTTTTTTATCCATTTCATCCTATTTGAACTTTTTCTTCCTCTCTTTGACTTTTGCTGCAGAACATTTTCAGTCTTTAGTTATTTTTGGTGATTTTCAGTCATTTTGGATCTTTTTCAATAGATTTTCTTCCAGTTTATTCTCTGGTTTTGATGCCCAGCAGTCGTTCTTATTTTTATTTGCTTTGTCTGCTTTTTTCCTCCTTTCCTCATTTTTTCTGCTTTCTAAAGTTTTTCTCCTCATAGTTTTTGTTGCGATGTTTCGTTTTGTGATTTTATGTCCAGACAGTTTTTCATCTTGTGGATGTTTGCTGCCCCCTGGTGGCCACGTTCTCATGCTTGGATGTTCTTGCTGTTGTTTTCATTTTCAGCTTTTTAGAAAACTCTGGGCTTTCCCAGGTCTTGTCCTTCTTTCCTCTCTGATGGTTCTGCAGAAACTCGTCTGACAGCTGTTGACCTCCAGGCGTTGCCTAGCGACAGAGCAGTGACCTCGGCGTCTCTTTGCGTCCTCAGAGTCTTCCGGCGGCGGCGGAAACCCCGCAGCGCCCTGGTTTCCCTGCTGAGCGGCGTTTCAGAGAGCTGCCAGTCATGGCTGGACCAGAAGGTGTTCGGAGGCATTCTGGGAACCGGACTCAGACAGGACCCGGACCCGGACCCGGACCTGGACTGGGCCCGGGTCGGCCAGCAGGGGGCGTCTCCGTGTCGATTGGACGAGTCTCTGTGGGCGGGGCTAAACGCCGATCTGGACGATGGACGAAGCTTCACCTATGGTGAGTCTGCAGAATGACCCGGTCCAACGCCGCTATCATGAGCCGCTGAGGTCACATGACTCTTCTTCCTGGTCCAGATCCCAGCGAAGCCCCGCCTCCTCCAGGCAAAGAAGCCCCGCCTCCTCCTGATGAATTGGCCCCGCCTCCTGGGAAGATGTTGATCCAGGAGGAAATCTGCTCTGAGGTCAGTCAGTCCACGCAGGGCTTCACCCAATCACTGAGCGGCCTCTCCGAAGTCCCGCCCCCTCTGGCCTTCTACAGCTGCTGCCAGGCGGCACCTGAACCTCCAGGTGAGCGGGACACCTGGGCTGACCTGTGACCCAAACCGTCTGGTTCTGATTCTGAGACGCTCAGGTTCCTGAAACTGTTTCATTTCAGGGCTGACGATGAAGGCTCTCCTCATCCTCATCTTCAGCATCTTCATCATAAGCGTTCTCTACTCAGGGTGAGACGTCGACCCAGTTAAACCAGTTTAACCAGTTAAACCAGTTTGTTTTGTTATTCATGATTCTTTCTTCCTGCAGCTCCTGCTGGTGGAGCGCCATGGTAACGGCCGCCATGTTGGCGACGATCTCAGCCGTGATGTGTGAGTATGACTGGGCTGCTGAGGTTCTGGGGTTCTGAGGTTCTGGGGTTCTGGGTCGGGTTCTGAGGTTCTGGGTTGGGTTCTGAGGTTCTGAGGTTCTGGGTCGGGTTCTGAGGTTCTGGGTCGGGTTCTGAGGTTCTGGGCCGGGTTCTGAGGTTTTGGGCCGGGTTCTGAGGTTCTGGGCCGGGTTCTGAGGTTCTGGGCCGGGTTCTGAGGTTTTGGGCCGGGTTCTGAGGTTTTGGGCCGGGTTCTGAGGTTCTGGGCCGGGTTCTGAGGTTCTGGGCCGGGTTCTGAGGTTTTGGGCCGGGTTCTGAGGTTCTGGGTTGGGTTCTGGGGTTCTGGGTCGGGTTCTGGGGTTCTGGGTCGGGTTCTGGGATTCTGGGTCGGGTTCTGAGGTTCTGAGGTTCTGGGTCGGGTTCTGAGGTTCTGGGCCGGGTTCTGAGGTTTTGGGCCGGGTTCTGGGGTTATGGGTCGGGTTCTGGGGTTCTGGGTCGGGTTCTGGGGTTCTGGCCGGGTTCTGAGGTTTTGGGCTTGGTTCTGAGGTTCTGAGGTTCTGGGTCGGGTTCTGAGGTTCTGGGTTGGGTTCTGAGGTTCTGGGTCGGGTTCTGGGGTTCTGGGCCGGGTTCTGAGGTTTTGGGCCGGGTTCTGAGGTTTTGGGCCGGGTTCTGAGGTTCTGGGCCGGGTTCTGAGGTTCTGGGCCGGGTTCTGAGGTTTTGGGCCGGGTTCTGAGGTTCTGGGTTGGGTTCTGGGGTTCTGGGTCGGGTTCTGGGGTTCTGGGTCGGGTTCTGGGGTTCTGGGTCGGGTTCTGGGGTTCTGGGTCGGGTCTGAGGTTCTGGGTCGGGTTCTGAGGTTCTGGGCCGGGTTCTGAGGTTTTGGGCCGGGTTCTGAGGTTCTGGGTTGGGTTCTGAGGTTCTGGGTCGGGTTCTGGGGTTCTGGGTCGGGTTCTGAGGTTTTGGGCTGGGTTCTGAGGTTCTGGGGTTCTGGGTCGGGTTCTGAGGTTCTGGGTTGGGTTCTGAGGTTCTGGGTCAGGTTCTGGGGTTCTGGGTCGGGTTCTGGGGTTCTGGGTCGGGTTCTGGGGTTCTGGGTCGGGTTCTGGGGTTCTGGGTCGGGTTCTGAGGTTTTGGGCTGGGTTCTGGGGTTCTGAGGTTCTGGGTTGGGTTCTGAGGTTTTGGGCCGGGTTCTGGGGTTCTGGGTCGGGTTCTGAGGTTCTGGGTTGGGTTCTGAGGTTCTGGGTCGGGTTCTGGGGTTCTGGGTCGGGTTCTGAGGTTCTGGGGTTCTGGGTCGGGTTCTGGGGTTCTGGGCCGGGTTTTGAGGTTTTGGGCTGGGTTCTGAGGTTCTGCGGTTCTGGGTCGGGTTCTGGGGTTCTGGGTCGGGTTCTGGGGTTCTGGGTCGGGTCCGCTCCACAGAACAGATTCAATGTTTTTTACATCGTTTTCCAAACTCCCATCAAAAATCGATTCAGAAACATAAAATAAATAAATAAACTGATTTTTACATTAAAAAAATAAATCAAAGTAAAAATAACGATAAACATTAAAAAGTTGAAATAATGTGGATTAAAATGTAAACAAAATAAAATAAACTTTCTAATAATAAGAAAACAAATGAACAGCAAATTAATACAAACATAAAAAGTCAAATGAAATTAAGTAAAAATTAAAATATTATATAAATGTAATAAGAAAAAAATTAACTAAAATGAACAAAATAAAAACATTTCTAGGAATAATTATTTTATTGTTTAGAATGAGATATTTTTATGATGAGTTCATTTAATTTTCAGAGTAATAATTACATTTTTGGAAAAGAAAACAATAATAATAAAACTTACATTTTTTTCATTTTCTTTCTTGGATGCAGATTAAAGAAAAAACAAATAAATTGACAGTAAAGTCATGAAATGTTTTGTTTTCATATTCCAGTCGTGACCAAGTCGGGTCCGATGGGCGAGTGGAGGAGAGCCAAGACCGAGGTGAGTCCAGAAACGGTCCGAACGGGTCGCCGATGCGCTGCAGAGAAACCACTGACACTCATCCTCTGTCCCTCAGGACATCACATCCAGGAACGAGTAGGAGCCGGAACCAGAACCGGAACTGGACCAGAACCGGACTGGAACTGGACCAGAACCAGGCAGGATTCTGTTCCTGCAATTTTCAATCCCACTGGACAAAAAGGTGAAACCGGTTCTGAGCTCTGGAGGCTTTTACAGATAACTGGGTTTGAATTCACAGAAAGAAAAATAAATCATGGATGACAGAAGAGAGGAATCAATAATCAATCAATAATCTGATTCAACCAGCAGATAAAGAGTAAAAACTGCTGTTGGATTCAAAAGGAGCTCAGACGCCGTTGGGTTAGCTTAGCATCGCAAAGAGCTGCAAAATCACCAACTGGGAAACAAAGTTTTCATCAAGTTTTTATTTCACACAAAAATCACCTGGAATCCTGCAGAAGATTTAATATTTTATATTTCCAGACGAGGAGCGATGATTTATTACGTTTATTTAAAATAGAAAGTAAATAAACCGCAGCTTCAGGGGAGACGCATGAGAGCAATAAGAATAAAAAACATTTTGTTGTCGCAAATTTAAATCCAGAAAACCTTCAAAACCTAAAATCCTGAAATATATATATTAAAAATGTAAATATTGAAAAAGGACCTGCTTTAAATTACATCTAAAGCTGCAGTCAGGTCAAGGCTTTTATTTTGAAAGAATTCCTCTCTGTATGGAGAGCCTGCAGTGCTTTAAATTTAACATCTGAGATAAAAAAGATAATCTATAAAACTGACCACATGATAAGCTATAAGTGAAAGACATTTTAAAAATAAAAATTAAACATAAATCAATTAAAATACAGTCAAATGATAAAGCTTAAAAATCTGAAAAATGAGCAGATTTTCTCCATCAATTCAGCTGTAAATATGATATAATTTAGTGAAAATTCAATTTTGATAAAGGAAACAATTCTAGTAAAATTATGACACATTTAATTATTTTTTGTGAAGTTCCCCCTTTTGCACAAGCTTTTATTTTGAAAAGCATCTTTTTTATATGGAGCTCAATAAGTTTTTAAAATTATTTTTTAGATTTTGTTTTGCATTAATGTATTTTATCCTGTTCAGACAGGTCAATAGGAATAAAAACTTGATGTTGATGAAATGTTTAGATATTAAAAAAGTTAATAAAAGTTTAATTCTTATTATTAACGAGCAGGATGTAATAAATCCTTCATGGCTGCAGAAAAACTAAACCAGTAAAAAAGTGAGGAAAAGGATTTCAGAAGATTTACTTGTCATGAATATTTATTCCCAACTTTTCACTTTGTCACATTTTTTTATTTGAAAGGGCCTTGCCTCTGTACGGAGCTCCTGAAGTGCTGATATGTTTTAATCCACGCAAACTAAAATAATGTCACACTTCAGAGGCTCCATGTTGATATTGTTACTGAAAGTAATGTAAAGTGTACTGTAAAACTTCCTGAATATGATCAGAAATCCAGAGCTGAGCTTCGGGTTCAGGTTAAAGCAGAGCCGACGTTCTTCCTGCAGGGAAAGGTCAGGAAGGTCGTGATGCCTTCAGGGCTCGCAACATTAAAAATCTTCCCACAGAAATGCTTTTAATCGCTCTGTGGTCCGAAGAAACGTTTTTATCAAAGTGCCAAATTTTTTATCCAGAACAAACGATGCTATTTTTGATACAGCGCTCTGCTTTACTGTTCTGGAAGCTTCCTGTTTATTACTGGTGAACATGTTGTCCTTCTACTCTCCTCTGTTTTTATCAGACCAAAACTCTGCTGCCCTCTGCTGGTTGGAACCAGTCAGTGCAGCGTAAGAACGTGTAGTTGTAAAAAATCACATTTGTGATATTTTTTTTACTTTCTAAGCTTTAGATCTGTGAAGCACTTAACCTCCGACTCACTCCTCATGTTCTACTGTTTGTATTTCCACTGAATGTGACGCTGTGCTTGTGATAGCACTTTGTTTTTAGCCGCAGTCTGGCAGCTCAGCAGGAGTTAATTATTAAATGTGAAACAAAAGGAAAATTTGGAGTTTAAATTGATGTGAAGATTTTCTATAAAATGAGATTTTTAGGGATCAATTCACATTTCAGAGGCGTTCTTGGATATTTGACCACTTGGTGGCGCTGTGACGTTAGTTTATTTCCTGTCTCCTGCCTGTTGTCAGACTGTTTTATTTGAAGTGACTTTTATTATGAAGCTATTAAACCACATTAAAGACAATCTGTGCTTCTGTGTTTGTTTACAAAATAATTCCAGTTTTTGTGTCCGACTTCTTTGAAATGTGTGACCTTTGACCCTGAAGGCAACACAAAGACGGAGATGATTCCAACTGTTTCAGTCTAAAACAAAGAAACTCGAGAAACAACCGAGTTTTATTAAGTTTATTTTATTAATAAGTGACGTAAAAACTTTAATTTTGACTCAACTGTCTAAACAAAAACAGAATATTTATGCTCATCACTGAGTCACAATAAACCAGAAAAAAAGACGTTTTTAACTCTGAACAAAACATTCTCCATCATGTGTAACCAGCCGGTTCTCCTCAGAACAGAACCGGGTCGGATGAGAACCCGCCGCTTTCAGTCAAACTGAGGATGAAGAGCAGCAGCTCTGAGGAGGAAGATGCTGCTGCTTTTAATGTCTGAAGCGTCACAGTGGATTTAAAACTCATCCTGTGACCAAAACGTCCGACTTTACGGAATCGATCCTGTAACCTGCTGAGTTTTCTCCGTCTGCGGTTCTCCAGGTTCTCCAGGTTTCCTCTGGACCAGTTAAAGGAACTCATGACTCAAAATCCACGTTCAGTCTTTAAACAGCTGCTGTGTTCTTGGCGTCTCTAGGAGAGCAGAACAAACGTCCTCTATGTGGGACAGTAGAAGCCCAACAGCTGTGATGTAAGCGCCAACCAGGAAAAAAGGAAAACAGCAGTAGTTTTATCAGCTGTTTCTGCCAAAATATGACAGAATTTAAAAAATGTACACAAAAATGTCACAATTTGCACAGAAACAGTTTCCACAGTTTGTGGGAGGATCCTGATGATCCGGACCGCCAACAGGAAGTCCAACAGGAAGTCTTCCTGTGGCTCTGATCCGTCCAGGAGGAAGCGTCAGAGCCGCTACAGGAAGCGACGCTGACGGCCGACAGCTGGTCTGAAATTGCAGCTGAGGGACGCAGCGTCTGCTGACGGTCGTCACGGTAATGCGGCGGGGAAGCACTTGTCCCCGGCGTGCATGGCGACGTGTCTCCTCAGGTGGCCGGCGGAGGTGAAGGCCTTCCCGCAGACGGAGCAGCGGAACTGGCCGCAGTCCGTGTGGACGGCCATGTGGACCTTCAGCGAGCCGGACTGGGCGAAGCGCTTCCCGCAGTGGACGCAGCCGTAGCGTTTCTCCCCGGTGTGGACGCTCTGGTGGCGCTTCAGGTTGCTGGAGTCGGAGAAGCGTTTCCCGCACAGCGCGCAGACGTACGGCTTCTCGCCCGTGTGAACCCGCATGTGGGTCTTCAGGTTCTTCAGGCAGGCCAGGCTTTTCCCGCAGAAGCTGCAGGTGAACGTCTTCCCTGTGGCGGCGGCGCCGCCGCTCTGCGGCCGCCAGCCGTCCCTCTGTGGCGCCCCCTGCTGCTGCCGCTGCCCCGCTGCAGACAGACTCGCCTCGCTGTGGCTGAAGCGCTTCCTGAATCGGCTGAAGCGTTTCTGCCGGGAACAAACCCGGAGGAGCCGCCGGGTTCTGCTGCTGCAGCACGGGAGGCTTGCTGCAGCATCATGCAGTCGTAGCCGCTGGCTTCTGGCCTCTGATTGGTCTGCTGGGTGGAGGTGGAGTTCACCTCCGTGCTGGTCCAAGAGACGCCGCCGTCTGCGCTGCTCTCTTCCTGTTTGACCAGCGAGGACGAAGCTTCTGCCTCGGGCTGATCCTCAGAACCGCCACAGAACCGACCTGGAGGCGAAACCAGACTCAGTCCACCTGCGGGTTAACAACAGGAAGGCCAACAGGAAGGCTTACCATGAGGGTCGGACTGGGACCAGGACTCTTCCTCCTCTTCCTCCTCATCCTCCACCTTGATCACCACTGTGGCCTCGGCTGCAGCTGCCTGGAAACAAGGCGCATTGTTCAACAAAAACTGAACAAAGGTTTTAAATCGGTTTCTTCTGCTGAGTTTTCATGACCGCGTCGTGTAAACACAATTACAAAACTTTATTTCTGAATTCTGCACCTAAAGTATGAAAAAACTAGAACAATTTCTATAAATAATAGAAACTAAACAGTATTTAAATAATTAAAAACTAAATTAAACAGTCGCAGTGAAATAAAACTACTGATGCTGATGCGTATGAAGCTGCTGATGCAGCAGCAGATGCGGCTGCTGATGCAGCAGCAGATGCGGCTGCTGATGCAGCAGCAGATGCGGCTGCTGATGCAGCAGCAGATGCGGCTGCTGATGCAGCAGCAGATGCGGCTGCTGATGCAGCAGCAGATGCGGCTGCTGATGCAGCAGCAGATGCGGCTGCTGATGCAGCAGCAGATGCGGCTGCTGATGCAGCAGCAGATGCGGCTGCTGATGCAGCAGCAGATGCGGCTGCTGATGCAGCAGATGCGGCTGCTGATGCGGCTCACCATCTGTCCTGTAGCTTCTGGTTCCGGTTCTGGTGGTGGGCGGGTCTCTCTGCACTGAGAAGTCTGCTGATTGGATGACAGAGACAGCTCTGCTGCAACTTCTGGAGAAGCAAAAACAATGATTGGATTTTGAGCTCAGATATGCACTTTGACTAGGCCATTGAAAAACACTGGTTTTTCTCCAAGTCCTTGGTGCATTCTGAAAGTGGATTAAAATAAAGTGAAATGATTATAGGCTTGATGAAATACGAATTTCTGCCATTTAGTTTTTATTACTTTTGAAAATATAAATTCTGACTGTGTATCAAATGTTTATTGAATTTTAATATCTGTTGGTCGGTTTCCAGCCTTGGTTTTAACGGAGCCATTAGATTCAATTCTGACAAAACTGTTGAACTTTCAGTCACTAGAGCCGAGTGTCTGATTTTATCCAGGTTAAAATCTGCAGAATATTCAATCACAGCATAACGGCATGCATTTGATTTTCTGTGTCCAAAACAACCATTGCTAAGATGCTAACTAGCAGAGCGAGGATATTTAACTAGTCCTGATTCTCTAATGCAGGTCAGCTGGTGAGACTGGAACCAGCAGAACCTCCAAACTGGTCTGGTAGAAAACTGATGCAGTCTGAGCTTCTCTCTCTCTCACACACACCCTGACACACACACTCTAACTGGAGCATTTATTACTGGGGGAATTATTCAATCTTTGCATTTCAACAGACCAAGTGCAGATTAGTTTTGGAAATGTAAAAATGAGAATATTCTTAAAATCTTTCACTCAAATGTTCAGTTTATTTCTAGAATATCTGAGATCAAATTTCAACTTTATATTCACTATTATAAATATCTGGTTAATCCTTTTGTTATTTTGCTGAAATGTTTCTGTCTGCAAAAGCCCTTTTAGATAAACTACGGAATATCCCTTTAGTCCAAATCAGACGCCAACTTCACCCTGGTTTAATGGCTGTGAATGTGAAGTAAATCTGGATCCTAAAGGTCACCTGTCAGTGTCACGCTCCTCCTCGGCTCGTGCACGCGCTGGCTGGCGCGCGGGCGGCCGCTCGCGGCGTACAGCAGCGCGGCGCCGCTGCCGCTCGCGGCGGCTCTGAGCGCGGCAGAGCGCGCCGCCCGCAGCTCCAGGAGCCGCAGTTTCCTCCGCAGAACCTCGTTCTCTTTGCGGCTGCGGCTGATCTCCAGCTGCAGCACCGCGTAGCCGCTGTCTACCAGCTCTCGCAGATCTCCGCCACCGCCGTGTTGGCCAGAACCTCCATGATGGAGGCGAGCTGCGAGTGAAACGCGGCGGACGGAGACATTTTCCTGCTGGTCCGAGCGGAACCGCTGAAGGCGGGTCAGAACCTACAGAACCTCTGGAGAACCTCTGGAGAACCTCTGTTTACTCGCCCGAGGCCTCAACACGACAGGAACGGAAACAAAACTCAGGACGCATGCGCAAAGTCACGTGCTCACACGTTTCCTGGAGTTACCAAAATAAAAGCCGTTAATAAATTCAGGGATTTAAAAGTTCAGGAAATATCATTTTAGAACCTTTATGTGAAAAAATGGTTTTGTTTAACAATTAAGGAAAAAACATGGTTTCATAAAATTAGGTTAATCTTGTTGGTCTTATTTGTCTTCACTGTTTATAAATCCTGCAGCAGTTTTACTATTGATGTCACTGATGATAAATTAAATGATGATAAATCTACTGATGATAAAGCTAATGATGATAAATCTAATGATGATAAATCTAATCTAGTAGTTTTACAGACATTTAAACTTTGTTTTGCTCTGCAGCAGTTAGTTTTACTGTTAATATCATTTTGTATTCAGAATGAACTTTGACCCCTCGGAGTCTGACAGCTTCAGGTTGAGGATTTCATCCCGTAGGATCTTTCTGGTGTTGAGGAACTCATCCTGACTGGGCCGGAGTCAGGGTGGCCGTTAGGGCAGCAGCCCAGGGCTGCAGCCGTTGGGGCGCCCCAAAGACTTTTATTGTCATTTTTATAAAAAAATGTGGGATTTTTATGAACATAAACAATACTCAAAGTATCAAACGAAATTATTTTTTTAACAAAATGGAGCTACTGCTCAGAGGACTTATGTAAGCTATAATACATCAATACATTTATAAAACTATTATATAAGCATCTTTTTTTTCTGTAGTGGACATGGAACCAAATGTTTCTAGATAAATTACGGCTCCAAACCTAGGAGCAGATCATCTGTGGACTCACCTGAACAGGTTTAGGACAAGAACCTGAAGGACTGAAGAGTTTTTAGAACATTTCCAGAAAAAGCAAAGAAAAATCGTAAATAATTAAATCAAATCTGGATCTAAACTGAAACAAAAACTGATTAAAACACAGCAGACAGGATGCGTACAAAGGGCAATTATTTTAATATTTCAGGAACAAAACATTCAAACAGCAGGAAAATAGACAAACACAGTTTTATTGGAGCCTCTAGTGGTCAGGAGTGGTACTGCATGCTGGTGGCTATTAGTCTGTGGGAAAGTATTAGTTTTATGATGAAGTATTATCTAAAAGGGCTTTTGCAGACAGAAGTATTCCCCTTTTATTCCAGAATAAAAGGGGAAATAAAAAATTTCATCATAAATACCTGGAATGTCTGAAATCCTTAAATTTCACGGATTAAGCAGTTATAATTTCCTCCCGCTCTAATCTGTCTGTTTCCATCTCATAACGTTTTGCATCATTTAGAAAATGCTACAGAGCTTCATTAAAACCTGAAAATTGAACTTTTGAACTTATTTCAATTTAAAATTGAAATAAGTGGTTTTACACAAACATGCAGAAAACAGAACCGTTTAAAATAAAGAATCTCGTTTCTCGCTGTAAGGACATAAAACTTCTCATTGAAACAAGAAAGTTTTTCATTACGAGACGTTTTTGTTTATCTGTTTCCATCTGTAACAAGAAACTGATTAAAACTGAGTTTGAGTTTTATCTCCTAAGAAAGAAAATTGACAAGATGAAACTCATCTCTTTACAACAAACTGATATTAATCTGGCTTTTATCTCGTTAAAACGAGTTTCTGACGAGTTTTATGACTAATTTTAATTAAATTGCTCCTCTGACTTCTGAGAACATAAAAGAGTTTCCTCTGATTCTTTCAACGTTTCTCCTACATTGAAAAAAACATTTAAAACTTTAATTTGTTACAAGTAGAGGTTTACTGATCAATCAGCCACCGATCGCCTGTATCTCACTTCGCAGCCTGTTCAGCTCATCTCCTCTTTCCTTCACTGCAAACGCAGCAACAAATCCTGAGCAAACAGAGGAACCAGGAAGGTCAGAGTGAACGGGGAACGTTTGAGTGTTGACAGAAAATACCTGGACTGACGCGTCAAAATGCATCAATAATACATGACATTTAAAAAACAAGCACTGGACTCAGTTTGGACATCCGGAGCGACCAGGCAGCAGGTGAAGCAGCTGCCACAGCCGGCATGACGTCAGAAACGCCGAACAATCAACCCGAGAAATGACTGGAGTCCAGATCTGGAGGTGAAAGACGATGCTCTGGTTGGGCGACTTAAAAAAGATTTGAATTAAAACTTTAGCTACGTCCCAACATGAGACAGAAGATCTGTGAGAAAAATAAATCAATCTCCTGCGACTCCTCCCGGTCAAAAACAACCAATCAGAGCCAGGATACTCGGCTAGCCAATCAGAACCAGATTTACTGTTAAATATTATTTTATTGATCGCAGGTTGATCAGTTTTGACTGAATAGCTGTTGTATTTTGCATGTTTTATGTCTGAATGAGGTGAACTTATTGCCAGATCATTTTTCCATTTTGCCAGATCTCATAGTAGCATTAATACCAAAATGAACAGCCAATCAGATGATCCTCAGTGATCGGACCTCAGAGGTGATCAGAACTGGAATCAAAGAACCAGAACGGAGCATCGCTAGTTACAAATAATCATTAAGTTTATGAAATAGTCGTGTTAATCAAATGTTAACATTGCTAATGCTAATAAATCAAGTTTGACAATCATTCAAATGCATGTAACAAATTAACTACAGTTTTTAAATTGGAGCTCCAAAGCCGTGTTGAGATGGTTTAAAATTACAATCTCATATTTAGGTTTCAAAGAAAAATAAATCTGATTATGTTTTGAACCTTAAACAGATACCGCTCTGACCGTTTAACGCTTCGCTACAAAGGAAAAGATTTACAACAAAGTTCTGGAGGGAACCATTGGGGCCCAGTTCAGCCTGGTTCGGCTCTGTTGTTGGTTCCAGTTGAGCTCAGTTGTTGGTTCCAGTTGGGCTCAGTTGTTGGGTCCAGTTGGGCTCAGTTGTTGGGTCCAGTTGGGCTCAGTTGTTGGGTCCAGTTGAGCTCAGTTGTTGGGTCCAGTTGGGACCCGGTTCAGGCCGTTTGGGCCCAGCGGTTGGGCCCGTTTGGACCCAGCTGTTGGGGTGGCACTTCTTCATGTGCAGCTTGAGGCTGTACTTGACCATGAAGCTGCGGGAGCAGAGCGAACAGCCGTACGGTCTCTCCCCCGTGTGAACGTTCAGGTGCGACCTCAGGTGGGCCGACTGCGTGAACTTCTTGCCGCACTGGTCGCAGGTGAACGGCCGCTCGCCCGTGTGGATGCGGGTGTGGACCTCCAGGTTCTGCGCCGTGGCGTAGGTCTTGTTGCAAATGGAGCAGACGAAGCGCTTCCTGTGGGAGTCGTCGTCCGGATCCGCGGCGGAGAGCTGCTGGCCCGGCGAGGATCCGTACAGCCCGAAGTTCAGCATGCCGCCGCGGCCGTTTTCAAACTCGAAGGCGGCGCCGCCGTGGTCGTCTGCGGAGCCGGCGATGCCGACCAGCTTCAGGCTGAACGTCGCCCTCCAGGTTCTCGTCGGGGCAGAACTGGGCGAACGCCATGGAGCCTTTGGGCTGTTTGGACCAGGACGGGTCCAGGTTCAGGTCCAGGTCGGCCCGGTTGGAGGGAGACAGGGCCTCCATCAGGGCGGCACTGCTAAAGAACAGCTGCCTGCTGGGGCCCGGCGGCGCCAGGGAGCAGTCCTGGACCAGCTGGACGTCCGGGTAGGAGCAGTCCGAGGCGTCCGCCTTCAGCTGGACGTTGTCCGGCGCCGAGCCGCCCGGGTCGCTGCGGGGCGAGTCCAGGCTGTAGACCGGGACGTTCTGTTGTGATCCGGCCGACAGTTTGGATGACTTCGGCGCCGACGGGTCGCCGTATACATACGGCCGGCTGCGGCGGCGGTGCCGCCGCCGGACGGACCGAGCCAAGGAGGCGGCTTCGCTGGCGGCTGCCGCTCCGCCATCCTGGCGCCGCTGTTCTCCTGGACAGAGAGGAAAAAATGTGGAGCGTTACAGATCATCCAGAGATTTAAAGGGCCAGTACAATAGAAAAATCTGTCTCTTTAAAAGTTCCTCCTCTTTCTGAAACTCCTTCCAGGAAATCATGACATGAAATGAAGCTGACTTCAGGAGTTAAAACCAAATAATGTTACTTAAGTCGGCATTGAGACACAGGACGATTCCCTCAACTTCTGATTTTCTAGTTCAGCCTTTTTTCACCTCAGAGTTTCTGTCACTTTCTGTCACTTTTCTGCTGCTGGAAAAATCCATTTAAACTTGTGACTATAATGTGACTGTCGCTGTCTGACGGTCCTCTGGATGCTTGGTGGAGATTTAAAACCTGCTAGAATCCATCAGGATTATGGGAAATGTAGGCAATCTGTACGCCTGGCTATGAAATCTCAAAGTATGATGAAGCAGTTTTGTCTTCATAACTTGTTACAATAAAAAGGATTTTGGTGAAGTGAACTAGTTTGGAAATCTAAAACAAAAGATGAATCAATAATTATCCAAATGTTGGTATCGCGCAGCAGCAGAACAATCTGCTCACCGACGTCAATGCTGTGGAACCCGTCCGAGTCTTCGTCTTTAATCAGAACCACATCCAGGACCTGGAGGAAGCCACAACATTCTGATCAGAGCAGAATCAGCCATGCAGGATATCAGCTGATGTCTGCGTTGACACTCCGAACAAGTCAAAGAGCTGCAGTTGTTTTTCATCACTTCATCCGTTAAAGATCAGTTCCCCCAGATTAGGAGCTAATTAACTTCACAAAGCCGCTTCCAGCGTCGACCCAGAGAGGAAATAATCAGCAGTTTCATCTCACCAACATGTCTGCCGGTACGGAAGCCTGGAGCCGCCAGAGCTGGGACTGAATTCAGGAGCAGGATCTCGTTAAAACTTGAAAGTTATCTTGTCAGAACCGGAAAACTTTCTCATTTTAACAAGATATAGAAAAAAAAAGTTTTTCTGACAGATTGCATCTTCCCTCTGACTCTCCGTTTTCTTCCAGACGGCACTCGAACGCCCCACGAGGTTCTGCAGTTTCACGTTACGACCTTTCTCGTTTTAACCAGAATATGTTCTGGTTTTAATGAGATATAAATCTTGTTATAACGAGAGAGTCTCCGGTTTTAACAAGATTCTGCTCCTGTATTTACGTCCTGCAGTGAAACACCTCCGTGTGCATGAGGACGGTTTTCTTCCAGTCTGGAGATTTGCCTCCAAACGCAGCAACATGATGATAAATATCCATTAAAACTGGAGACCGGCTTCACATCACCTTCATTTTCATCTGTAAAAATCATTTTCTGAACATTTCCCATATTCTCATTTTTATTTTCCATTTGGAACCAAAATGAAAACAAATATTTCTTCTTTATTCTCTTTGAGATCAACAATATTTTATTCAGTAATGATCTCAAATCACAAAGTATCCATGGATCTAAGCTTTTTATGCAATGAGTGGTCCCTTAATTAAATGTTGACGTTTATGATTCAAAATTAAGATTCTTTGTTTTACCAGCTGGGAGGAAAATACCAACCCAAAATGAAATATGGATCAAGAGATACTGCAGTATTTCAAGTGTTTAATCTCTCCTATTCTTTGTCCCGATGGTTTTCTGAAGATAATGAGTTGATTTCAGGTTTTCTCAAAATGGGTAATTAATTCATTATCTTCAGGAAACCATAGGGAAAAAGTGCCTCCATATATAAACGAGTTTTCTAAAGGCTTATTGTAGATGGGAAAATACAAGAGGAAATTTCACTCCAAAAGTTTTCTGGAATTTTCTAGAAAAATGTATACATTTTGTTTGTTTCAAAAGTCGACCATTTGTTTGAAAAAACTTTGATTAAATGCTGAAATTTTCAACAATAATCTTGGGATTATTTTCACCTTGAAACTCAGAAAATTTCCTAAAGTCTCAAAATGTCGAGATTGTAGGAAATTTCCAAGAACTGTAGAAAAACAGGAAGAGAAAAATGTTTTTATCGACCTGCAGGAGCAGGCCGTAATTACTGAGTGATAATTAGTGATTGATTATCACTAATAATTAGTTATTACTAATTACTAGTGATAACCAATCACTAATTATTGAGTAATACCCTGACCTCTGCCGTCTCTGCTGGTTAATAATCTGTGTGCGGTCAGAACCGGTACCTCCTCCCGCTCCACCCCCGCGGATCCTCCGTCCCCTCCGGATCCTCCTCCGGATTCCCGCGCGGGTCTTCCCGCTGCCTGTCCCGCTGTCTCTGCGCTGTTTCCGGTGGGACGGCCGCCTTCGTCGCCTCGGTCTTGTCCTCCGGGGCCTGGCCGTCCCCGCCGCCCGGGACCACGATGGACTCGATGAGGTGCAGCTTCTTGCGCAGGTCGTGGTTCTCCTGGCGGCTGCGGCTGATCTCCAGCCGCAGCCCCGAGTAGCCCTCCTCCACCAGCTCGCAGATCTCCGCCAGCGCCGCCTTGGCCAGCGCTCCCAGCACCGCGGACAGCTGCTCCTGGAGCGCCTTGCTGCTCAGAACCGACATCCCGACCGCTACCGGAACCGGACCCGAACTGGAGCAGCTCCGGACCGAACGGACGAACCAAAGCCGACCTCACAAACCGTCCGGGACACGAGCCTCGCAGACCTGGAGCTTCCACATCGGCTAAGACTACAGGAAGTCATGGGTTTCATCGTGACGTCACGTCCGGATAAAGATTCCATTTCAAAGTCACGTTTAGAAACTAAAATGAGTTTTTATTGTTAAACCTTTACTGCGGTATTTTAAATAACCCAATAATTTGGACACTTATAGAGGACAAATGCTGCCGCAAAGTTAATACAGAAACAAATAAATACTCAGATTAAATGTGATTAAATGTACAAAAACACAGTAAATAAATGTTGGTGGTAATTAAATTACAGACCGAAGTAAATCTATTCATGTCTTTTCATCAAGTTACTTTACCGTGGTAATATCTTTATTATCAATAACGTCTTTATAAAGTTTTATTTGTTTTGCTTTGAATATTTTTGTCTGTTTTTTTCTCCCTTTGTATTTTTTACCCTTTTCATTTCTCCAATGCTATTTCTGCTTTTCTATATGTATTTCTGTTTCTGCTAAAATCCCCAAATATTTGAGACCTCCACTGAAAACCAAGTTTATTTGCATTAATAATCGATAATAATGCATCTTGGCATCACTGTGCACCAAAGGATAACATTTACAGTCTGCCTAAACTACAGATAACTAAATGTCTGTAAAAAAAATTAATTTACTAACGTTGTAATCCACTGTACTAATTGGAAAACTTCACAAATCATTATTACTAAATTAACTTGTCAAATTAAACTAATTGGGATGCATATATAATGTTTAAAGGTTAAAAAAGAATAAAACCATAAATTTAAAATGAAACTATCTCCACTGAGCCAACAGATTGTAAAATGATCATTAAAAACAATAACATCTTTTTAAAGTAGCTCTGATACAATCAACCGATTCGAACTTTTGATAAATGATTTATTTGAGGATTTCACTGCAACTGCAATAAATTACACAAACGGTAAACAGTTTGAATTTATTATTAAAACAGTCAACATAAAGCTCACATCTTCACTTTCACCATCAGTCACATGTTTTTCTTCCAGGTTTGATTATTCCACTCTGCTTTTTTTATCGCAAGCGTAAAATTAATAACCTTCCATGATGGGTGGATGTAAACACAGCAGGTTGTTCTTTAGCTTTAATTTATTGTTTGATTCTATAAGAGAAAAAATTAAAATTTAATTTTAGAAAATTAAATTTTAACTGACTGACACCAAACTTCAGCGCCACTCATGCAGCCTCTAAAGACAAAACTATGTTGCTACTGGAATGTCTTCCTGTTTAAAAGTAAAAAAAAAGTGAAAGAGAAGGCAGAGAGAAGAAATCTGAGCAGCTTTTCCACTGAAATGTCTGGATGAACAGAAAAAGTCATGGAACTGCTGGAGGTTCTGGTCCATCAGCAGAGCCGGCCCAAGGCATACGCAAGTTTAAGCAGCAGCTTAGAGCCGCCACACAACCTGTTGTAGAAATGGGATTTCTTCCTCCTGATGGCTGCTGCCACTGTTGGGAAATATAACATCTCAAACTTGTTCACTGTAAATAGTGTTTAAATTGTGTTTAAAACTGTAAATTTAGTGTTTATCAGCTGATGCTACTTTCAAATGGTGAGAACAATATGGCACACTTAAATCCCACTCAGCATTTTAAAATGAAATAATTTTAGTTTATGACTTCTGTAATTTTAAAATTAACAGCCAAAATAACACTGCTAAGCTAGTAGCAAATGTTGCTAATGCAGGTTCGTTACATACAGAGCAGATCAGGAATGAAGAATCTGGTGTTGACATGTATGGAAATCTGCTTTGGGTCCCAAAAGGCTTGGGCCGGCCCTGTCAGCGGGTCAGCGGGTCTGGGCTCGGCTCTGGCCCAGTCAAAGCGGCACCATGTGATGTTTCTGCTGGTGGATCCGCAGGTTCTGCTTGGCCGCGAAGCATTTCCCGCAGTGCTCGCAGGAGAAGGGTCGCTCCCCGTGTGGACGCTCTGGTGCGTCTTCAGGTGGCCCGACTGCGTGAAGCGCTTCCCGCACTGCGCGCAGCTGTACGGCCTCTCGCCCGTGTGAACGCGGACGTGTGTCTCCAGGCTGCGCGATGATGTGAAGCATTTTCCGCAGTAGTTACAGGCAAATCGCTGGTCCCTGCAGAACCGGCTGAGCTCCAGCGGGTCGAGTCTGGAGCCGCCAAGTGCCAGCAGCATGGAGCGGTGCGGCACCGGCATCATGCCGGGCACGGCCTGGCTGCTCCAGGAGGCGCCGGGGTCCAAATCCACGTCGCAGGGGACGGACCCGACCAGAGCAGAACCCCGCTTCAGGTCTGACAGTCCGGGCAGCGCCGCCGGTCCGTCTCCAGATCCCAGCAGGAAGCCGGTCCTGATGTCCGCTGCAGACAGAGCGCCGCTGTCCGACTCGGAGGCCAGGTCAAAGTCCGCAGAACCGCCCTCAGCGGCGCCGGACGGGCCCGGAGACGGCCGGCCACTGCAGGAGCTGCTCTGGTCCCAACACCGCATGTCAGAGATCTTCCTGCCGGATGGGCCCTCCTGGCCCACAGGGAGGCCCGGGTCCGCCTCCTTACCTGAACATGGATCAGAACCAAGGTTTCACTAACGCTGGCCTAGTCCATACATAGCAGGATATTGAGGAAACTGAACAGATTTATATGCAATTTGGTCTTTCGTCCACAGCAGAACTTTGCTTCTGTTTGGGTTTCTTCTGCTTCTACAAACTGTCCAACTTCTTAAAACAGAACAGAAATCAATCACTCGGCTGGTTTTGGCCGTACATTTGAGCTTCAACACGTTTGGTGCTAACAGGAAGTCGCGGTTCTTTTGATGGATTCTGATTGGCTGTTAGTGTATCGTATTTCAGCGGGTTGGTGTGGATCAACTCTTTCCTGAAACTGATCTCCTGTGTGTGATATTTTTTTAAACGATGCGGTGCAGCTATCGTTTTTTTTTCTTATAAAGAAAAACGATACATGTGTCCTAAAGCTGGAATACTTAGAGAAACCCAAATGAACGCGGGTTGGTCTCACCGTCCTCCTGCAGGAGCAGCGGGTCGTCCTTCTCCTCCTCCGTATCCTCTTTGATCACAACGATGTCCTCATCCATTTGGATCGGCTCCTCCGCAGCGGCTGCAGCAGAATCCTGTCAGAAGAAACAACATGGCGGTTTTATATAAATTAGTTCATTAGTGAAGTAAAGTGATGGGGGACGTCTGACCTCTGCAGGAACGGATCCATGTCCTCTGAAGTTGGAGGGTTTTATCTGCTGTAGAGACGCTTCAGCTTCCAACTCTGGGTGGGAAAACAAACACAGATAAAAACAAACCTGTAGGAAAAAATCCAGAAAATGTCCAATATTTACAGGATGAACTGTAAAACAGACAGAAAGAATGAGCTGTTATTTTTAACAATGAGCCTCAACTGAATCAATCAAACCAGTAAAGCACGGTAGAGGCTCCATCATGGTTCAAAACAAAAATATCTGCTTGTGTTGAAATGCGCAGTCAGTCATCTCCACTGCACTGACTCTGAAGAATAAAAATATCAAACTTTTATTTTAGAAGTTTAGTCTTTGGTTTAAAAGCTTTGATATAAAAAGAAAACAATATATTTTCTAGAAAGAATGTCATTTTCCAGATCAGGATATATGAAACTTTAGGAAGAATTCTCATGTTTTGTTTTTTCCAAATGTTTAACGCCGACAGATTTATAAAAAATAATATCAGAAAACATTGTATTGGCTTTGTGACGCTGGAATAAATCAGTAATGTGTGTAAATGACTTCAGTTTCAAAATCCACATTTTCTATTCTGTCCTCGGAAAGATGGCAGTGTTTACAGTTTACCCCAGTGCTGCCCTTCCCCCACCTGCTGCTGAGGAAAGAGGACAGCTACATTTTTTCCTTTCTTGAGGAAATTCTGGCATTTTGGAAATATTTTCACTTGGCAAAAAAAGGAGTATTATCTGACAATGTCTTACAGCTGCTACTTGTTTCATCTTATTTTTTAAATGTATGACTGCAATAGCATCAGATAGGCATAACTGTCATATTTCAAATGAATACAAATTGTTATAGTTGATAGTCCAACACTAAAATTGGGCGATATCTTTAATCTGGGTTGTTGCTCTCTGGTGACATAATAGAATAAAAACATTGAGTATAACTACAGGCAGCAGGTTGGTGGTGGCCGCACTGGGTTCTGCCCAGGGCCCCACTCAGCTTTTAACCGGCCCTGGAAACCCATCAGTTGAACTATAACAAAACAAACCCACTACATGCTTTCTCCTGCGTTATAACTGTAAAAACCGGGATGTGTTGTATTTTCTGGTTTTATTAATATGCCGAATTGAAAAGTGCCTCAGATGAAACTCATCCTGCTGAGAATTTCTGCCTGACTTTGTTCCCAGTGGAGCCGAAACCGCTTCATTGCACTTTTCTAATGGAGTTTGGTGGAAACATGAAGCTCTGAGTTCATCATTCACAACCAGTAATAATAATAACAAACAGAACCGGTTCGGTTCCGCTGAGCTCACCGGCCGCAGCCTCCTCCGGCCCGCCGGTCCGGCGGCCGCCCCGGGCGATGATGGACTCGATGAGCTCCAGCTTCGTCCGCAGCGCCTCGTTCTCCTTGCGGCTGCGGGAGATCTCCAGCCGCAGGACGGCGTAGCCGTCATCCACCAGCCCGCAGATCTCCGCCACCGCGGCTCGGGTCAGCGCCTCCATGATGGACGACAGCTGGGACTGGAAGCCCTTCAAGCTGCTCATTGTGGCGGGGAAACGAGCTCAGGTCTCAGCAGCAGCAGCAGCTCCCAAAGGCCGGCAGGCTGAGATCCAGCGACCTGCAGCTTTCTGTGGGCAACTAAACCGGGTCTGGAGCCGAAGAGCGGCTCACCTGCTCGGGAAAACGGCCGGATGCTGCAGATGTTGCTGGAACTTCCTCTGTGTGCGCTGAATTTTCAAAATAAGAGTCAGGGATGCTGTGTTCAATAGCACATTGGAAAATTCGAGCTTTATTGGTTTTTGTTGTTTTTCTATGTTTGACCATTTAATCCTGACAATTGAAATTGTCAGGAATCACGAAGTATTGGGCCAGACGAAAAAATAAAAAGTTAATATTACGAGAATGAAATTAAAGTTGAAATAAAGCGAGAATGAAGGCGTAAAATTACTACAATAACGGAATAATACGGGAATAGTGATAATGATCAAGTCATAACAATTTAAAAATAAAGTAATCAATATGAGAATAAGAACCGTAACTTTGTTCGGACTTTATTCCAGTAATCCAGGACTTTATAATCTGTGACTTTAATCATCTCGTATTTTTTCTTCGCCCTGAAAACTGAAACAAACAGGAAAATGTGTGACAGCGTTTCTGGTGTGTTTCAAGTTTTAATTTTAATAAGTGATGTAGAACCATCACCCAGCAGATCATGGAAGGAAATCAGCCAAATCAATAAGTTCATGAAAAGTTATTGTACATTTCAGAACCAATATGAGTCAGATGTTTCCTTTCTATTTCAAATTCTTGTTTATATTTTATTAATCTTAAAAATAAATTAAATATTATTTTAACTCTTACTATTTAAGAAAAACTACAGTAAAAACTAAAAAGTAAATTGTATTAAAAGATTTCTAAAGATTTCTGTATCAGGATAAAGCAATAAAACAAGCATGAGATGCTACAATAGACGTAAAAATTCAAACATAAAATAATGATGGTGGAGTATTTACCTTTAATCAATCCATTGATTGATTGATTTGCCTTTAAAGGTCTAAACAGAAGGATGAACTGAGCTCTGATTTATTGATAAATTTTGACCAGATCCTATCATTAATACACTTACCACTCTTAATTCTTTTTTATTATTCTTAATTTTTGACTTGTTTTGTGATCATTTCAATTTAAAAAAAAAAATCATTTAAATTAGTTTTGAAATGTTTAAAATTTCCTACCGAATTTGAACGCATCAAAAAGTCGGTTTCCACGGCAACGCGTCACAACGACAGAGACGCAGATGGTTTTCAGTAAGTTTAGGGGCAAATGTTCCGAAAAAATGATCAAAACGAACAAATAACGACTGTAAGATACATTTTACTGTTGGTGTTTAAACGTTAGAATCTATTTGTCTTTAAATCTCAATTTATTAGTTTGTGTTTACATTTTGTTTTCGCTTCCTGGAAAATAAATGCTAGTTAGCTTAGCCGCCCAGTGGAGTTGTACTGTTACTATTAACTTTGAATGGTGATGAGTTAATTATAATATTCTAAAGGTTTAAAATAGTCTTGTGTTGAATTAATTCATTCCGTTGACATGACTGAACAAAATCATTGAATCCTAAACATTCAGAAATGCTCCAGAATGGCCTGTGTTCATGTGATCTCCATGTTTTTCCCATCCAGTCACAGAGGAGCTGATCCGGCGGAGGGCCGAGCACAACGACTGTGAGATCCTGACCCTGGAGGAGGTTTCTCTGCACCAGCAGGACATCGAGAGGATCCAGCATGTGGACAGGTGGTGCAGGGAGCTGAGGATCCTCTACCTGCAGAACAACCTCATCCCCAGAATCGGTACCGACACGTCCATCAGAAAACACAGCCAGGAGGGGTTTATGCTGCATCATCTGGAGCTTCGACTGATTTAACCATTCCAGGGCGGAATGATAATTATGCAACATGCAGTAGAAATTATTCTAAAGAACTGGAGTTTATTATTTATTTATGGTAAAAATGACCCAAAAATTCTCAGCTGAGGAAGGAAGTTTTATGTCAGTTTGCTTAGTGAGTTCCAGAACCCATTCTGATGAGTTATTATAATTTAATTGGTCAAATATTCATCCAGAATTATGTTAAAATTACATGAATAGGTACTTAAGTGTCTGGAAAAGGTGAAACCCTCAAAGAAGCTTTAAAAATGCATGTGAGGATGTGAATACTTTTGATCAGAGACGCAGTTTTAAAAATCATTTAATTTTTTTTTTATTCTCTTAAAAAATAAACTTTCAAATGACTCATTAAAATCCCCAAATTTAAGCATTTGTGTCAATGTGAATGTATGGAAACCAGAACGTTATTATTTATGGTAGAAATGATTGGGAAGCAGAGACGTGAATCTTTCAGCAGCAAGAAATTAAAATGTGACTTTTAGGATCGATCCAGAAACTATTTTTATTTCAGAAATAAAAATACAGTCTACAGTAAACCGAATTTAAACATCCTGTTTGAATTATGTGACTCACTAATGCTGTCAGATTATATTTAAACCAAAGCAGTTTGTGCATAAAATACTCAATAAATATTAGCTTAGCTTAGCAGCCTGGGCTTTTCTTAAATAAAAATATATCAAACAACCATTCAAAAATATTATTTTACAAAAGTTTAAGCAGATGAAATGTGATTGTTTTGAATCGATTCACAGTTCCCAGAACCAGGATGTTTTCTGCTTCTCTGTTGGATGCGACTGATTCTTAGTGTTTCACCAGTGATAGAGCTCCAGTTACTGAATTCCTGAGGAGTTTTTATAGTTTCATCTTTTACAGTTCAGGCTTTTCTGATATTGCAGAGAACGTGGGGCGCCTAAAGAAGCTGGAGTATCTGAATCTGGCCTTGAACAACATCCAAGTCATTGAAAACCTGGAAGGTGTGCGCGCTGAGCCGACCCGGCAGGCCCGCTTTTCAGAAGCAGACTCTGATTTTGCTCCTGCCTTCAGGCTGCGAGAGCCTCCGGAAGCTGGACCTGACGGTGAACTTCGTGGGTCTGCTGAGCAGCGTGGAGTCGCTGCGGCACAACGCCCACCTGAGGGAGCTCTTCCTGGTGGGGAACCCCTGCACCGAGTTCCAGGGCTACCGGCAGTACGTCGTGGCGGCGCTGCCTCAGCTCAAGGTCTCCGCACTTCCTCAAACTTCTTCAGCAAAACCAGGATTTTAAAGAGGACCTGTTACGCAAAATTCACATTTTGGCATCTAATCCATAATAGATCACTTTTAAATTCCTTTTGGGACTTAAATCTAGATTTGAAGGCAGCACTTGCAGCTGAAGCTAACTCGTTAGCATCCAGATCTCCCCTTTCCTGTGTGTCTGTCTCCAGTGGCTGGACGGGACGGAGATCAGCCGGTCGGAGCGGATCAGAGCCTCGCAGGGCCTGGAGCAGGTGAGGAGGCGAGTCAGAGAGCAGGAGCAGGAGTACCTGAGGAGGAGAGAGGAGCAGAAAGAGGAGGCTGCACGGAGAGACCAGGAGAGGAAACCAGAGTGAGTTCAGCAAGTGGAGTTATTTCTATCAGAAGAACAGAGTTTTGATCATATTTCTCCTTAAATTCAGGATCTGGAGCTGAAAGCAAACCTGGTTCAAACTTTCCCAGATGGTCTGAATGTCTGCGTGTTCCTCCTCAGCTCACAGGATGACAAGGAGAACCTGCGGAGCGCCGAGGAGGAGGAGCAGGACTTCTGGCACACGCCCTGCCCTTCACCCCGAGTCCCGGCTGGAGGCGCACTGCCGCCTGGAGGAGAAGAAGAACGCCGACAGGAAGTGAGTTTCATCCATTTTATCCTCTAAACATCTTAAACACAGATTTACATATTTAATTATGTATTTTCATAGTGTTTAAAATGTCTATATTAATAGAAAACCAGGCGTTAAACAGGAACCAATATCCAACAACTCAAAATATAAATTTTGTCTGGTGGATGTAGTTTAGGATCTTGGCCACAAGGTGTCACTAAAGCACCTGTTTCTATCTCCACCTGAGCAGCTGATGTTACGACGCTTCCTAAAGTTTTTCATACTTTCTTCATCCTGGAGGAAAATCAGAGAAACGTTTCAGGAAGGAAGCAGAGATGAAAACAGATTCAGCTCCAGTTCAAACTGGTTCAGTGGTACCAGGCCGACTGGTACCAGTTCAACAACCTTCAGTCAGACAGCAGAAACATCTGGACCTGTGATCCCAAACCAGAGAAGCAGAACCAGACCTGCTGGTACCTCCCAACCCAACTAATGAGCTTTCCTCCTGGTACATTTCTCCTGTTTTGTGTTGGATTCGGATTTATTCAGATTTTAATATCAGACGAAGAAAAACCTGAGTAAACACAAAAAACTGCTTCCAGGACGCGAGTCTCAATCAGATCACATCATTTTTACATTTGACCAAATTCGATGGCAAAATAATAATTAATCAGCCGAATGCGACCAGATCCGACTTTTCACACGAGTCTGAAAGACCGATTCTTTTCACTCCGCAGACGTCGAGTCTGAGCCGCTTCCATACGTGGAGCTAAATTGTATCTTATAGTTGTCAAAGCGTCTGCAGTCTGAACTCCCACGTTGCATTTTATCCCATTTCTTCTTCTCTGACATGAAACCTGCATCTTAATTCTGCACCAGAAGAAGAAAGACTGAATCTTTCTGATCCATTTATTTAGGACTCATTCCTTAAAGTCCTTCCTTCACACCCTGAAGCCGTCAGTCAGAGATTCATCAGAGGAAGAAAAACAACTAAATGAAAAGCAAACGGATTAAAACTTTTCAGCATGTTGAGCGTTTCTGTGCAGATTTGATGTTTTGCTCTGAACGGATCTTTGGGTCCTGGCAGCAGGATGCTGCAGCGTCACGGACCCGTCCTTCCTGGGCATGATGGCCGACGTTAATCTGACGTCAGCAGAGCAGATTAGAGCGTCTGCTGCTGAGTCCGCTCAGGTTAATTAGCAGCTTAACGGGCCGATTGTTCTGAGAGTGTGTTCTGGTGACGTCGGACCGAACAGAGACCCGCCGGGTCAGCAGGAAGACAGGATGTAGTCGCTGGACCCGTCCTGGACGGACAGAACTGGACCCGGAGTTCTGCTGCGGCCCGCTGGGACTCAGAACGCCTGGATTCAGAACAGAACCGGCGGTTTAGAGGTGAAGGTTCTGGTCAGAACCGACGGGTTTAGAGGTGATTT